CCCTAAGAAGCCACCCATATCCATGCCGTCAGTTAAACCCCAGCCAGCAATTGCCTTCATGCTAATGTGATGCTTCATTTCTAGGAACAACTCACCATATTTTTGTCGTTTCAGCTACAGAGTTAGTGGGTTGTGGGTTGTTGGATGTTGTGTCGTCGGTTGTGTGTTTTGTGTTGTGTGTGTACTGTCTTGTCCTCTACGTTTCGTATTGTCTGCCAGTCGGTTTGGGAGAAGCCCTGTAGCTCTCTCTTTTCCTGGCCACACAAAGAACACATTTTGCGGATACTCCTTTTTAGGAGTTCATGGGTTCGAATCCCATGAATGTGTCAATTTGCGCTGATATCTAATGTGGTCCGTCTCAAATACAAAAGCACAACATCCAACGGACAATCTGCATCCTTTCATCACACCAACTACAAGTGTTGTCCTCATACAACAGAATGGAACTTCCAACGGAGCAAAGAGTAACCAATACCCAAGATGAAGTTCTTGTACCTTCTCAAACAGGACAGAATGCGGCACTTGTTAATGAAGTATTCTCGATGTTTAAGGGATCCTCTCAGTTAGACGTCCGATCAGAGGATATTTCAAAGTGGTAAGCTCATTAAACTTGTGATTACTCTGCGAATACTTCACCCATTTTAATAAATATGAGACCACTAAACTCATTGCTGTCCGGTCGTAAACGGCGCACACAGATAATTTCGGTTTTATCTGGAAGTGTTTTATCAATTCAACTAGAAATTGTATTATCTTAAAGAAAAAACATTTACCTATTTGTATAACTTTAGTTCATTTCAAAAGCTTTCCTATAAGCCAAGATATTATTGCAGAACTTGTACTTTTAAATTGAATGTTAGAGAAGCAAAAATACGCAAAGCCTTCCAAAAATCTCGCCTAAAAACCTCCAAATATTGTAGCTTACATTGGGATCAATATTTTCATATATTTTACTCGAAATACAGTTGCTTTGGCGATTTGTAGTGATATTTCCAACAAAGTGTTTACAAACGGAAACCCGAAATTGCATATAATATCACCATATTAGCGAAAATTTGACAATTATGACCTCTAGGGACAATTTTACCCAGAAATCGATTTCTGGGCTTATTTTACCCCCACGGGGTAGGCAACATTACGTTTTTGACACCTCTAACCTCACGCGACAACCACTTGTGCATGCGGCTGAGCAACGCCTCGCTATACACAATAACAAATAAAAAAATCTATATTTTTCGAGTTTTTCTGCCCATCCTGACTTAAATCCTATCAGAAAAGATAACTAATGCCTTTACAGTTTATATGTAACGGTTAAAAGACGACAGGATAAAAAATAACGAAGAAAATAACGAAATTCCAAAGGCGAGTTATATTTCCATTTTGTAATCCTGTTAATTTGATATGATTTTTAGAGCTGCACTGCAGTGTCAGGTTAACAGCAATATTGATTAATTTCTTGATTAGAAATTTTCGAGCTATATTTTGGTGGTATTTTTGTGCTTTTAAATTAAACGGATTAATTTCAACATTAAAAAACCAAGATGATTTCATGATATCTGGTGATGGAAGCATGACAGCATGGGTCATAGCGCTAAGTATTATGCGTACACAATATTTCACTGGTGTTATAAAAAATAGATTTTTTTTCTCCCTTTCCTATTATGTAATTGCATTTACCAATATATATGTAACTGTCAGGGGTTGGGGGTATTATGTGAATATGAAAGAAAACAACCTGCATTTCTGTATATTCTTGTGTTATAGAAGTCAAAAATACATGCTGTTACTATACTGTATAGGCCCTTGTGATTCATATACAATTATAGTTTCAATTGTGTGATAGTTATGTTCTTGTAATCTCAATTGTAGATTCTATGGCATATAGAGTCGAATTGGTACGGCAAAATATCTTTGAGAATTGAAGTTTATGGCGGTTCTTCAGGTATGTTCTGGCAATTCACTGAAATACTATTTGTTCGCTAAGGAATGTTGTCCCATGGTAGCGGTACGCATGAACCTGGGATATCACAATGCTGATAGCCTCACAACCCTGGACAATATATAATAATTTACTTGTTCCTTGTGTTTCAATTTTAGATCAAATAAAGTATGGCAACCCAGGAGTTGCTAACAATTATTACCTTTCTCTTATCACTGACTACACCTCCATCCATCGCTGTGCCATACATGGATTTGATGGACTGACATACCAAGCAAGGTAAATATTGCAGGCTACATGGTATATGTTCAGTTTATTATTATGTCATATTAGGACTGTTGGACATTATTTTTTTATTCAGTAATTCCCCTATATGGGAATGTGATAAAATTCGATGTTAACCCCCAAGTAAAGATTTCACAAAATCAATGGAAATAACGCTGTACCTCGACTGGTTTCAATTCTGGAGGAGCCGTGTATGGCAAAATTATATGCATTATCATTTCATTTTTGTTGATGATTGTTCGATGGTGTTTGGTGCCAGAAGATAATTGATACTAATTATTGGCCCACGTACTGAAGACACATAACATCCCAGATAATAGCAACAAGTGTTGGGAATGCGGATAAGTCGACAGGACATGGTCGCTTAAATGAGGCAGCTTCCTGGTCTGCACGGAAAAATAACCAGGACCAAATGCATTCGGCAAGAAAGATGTTTGTCGGAGCGATTTCACTCAAAGTCGTCGTGATTATAATTAGTGGGTGAAGACCTATTCTGTGTCCTGTAGTTCCGACGGGCAAAAATTCGATCATTACAAAATAAATGGACTAGTCAGGGTTAGCTGGATTAATAAGCAAGGCTTCTACAGATTACCCTGTCACGTTATATGCATCACATCATTTCCATGCGGTCATATATAACTTTTAATGTGTGATTAAGATTAATTGTTTAACAAATTATTCATTTCATTAGAGACTCGCTGGTGGAAAATGTCCTATCACCAACTGTAACCGCGCTTTACATCCGCATTCATCCAAAGACATGGTACGCAACATATCTTTGAGAATTGAAGTTTATAGCTGTTTTTCAGGTATGTTCTAGCAATTCACTGAAATACTATTTGTTCACTAAGGAATGAGAAATGACTGAGAGATCCATCTGACTGAAATATATAGCGAAAATTTTCAATAAGTGGCTTATGTAAGAGCGAGTTTTTGATTTAGAAATAAATTCTTTACACCCTACCAGCGGGTTTGTCAGGTTTTTTACTAACTTAGGTGCATTGGAATACAAGTAAAAATAAGGCGTGTTTTAGAAGTTATACCTGGACGAGGAATCCAGCATATCATTATGAGGAACAAAGCTATTATAGCGGTATATACTCAGGGCTATCACAATCAAGTTTAGTGTTATCGCTTTATTTCAATGTTTGCTGCACGGTCGGATTCTCACAATTAAAAGAAAATCAAGCGAAAAGTTTCACACGTACAAAAGTATAGGTATGGAACTGGGGCCGGTTGTTCGAAAGATGGATAACTTATCCAACGGATAAGTCCTATCCAACGGATAAATCTGGATAGTTATCCATTGGATAAAAACGCGTTGCAGGAAGCGTGGATAGTGAAGTGGATAGCTACCCAATAGATAAGTTAAAATTTACCAGAAGAAAACAGTATTATTCTGAAATTTCGTACCACAACGTCAGCTGTTGCTAAGCATTTACAACATTGAATTCATAATCATTACGAATTCTCGAGTATAGTTACTGAATGGAAAAGGCTTGAACAAGTGATTTGCTCGAACTTTGCACTTCACATCATAGTGATTTATTAATTAAACACATTGCAATTTTATTCCTTGACCTTGCAACGCTTTGCCTTTCGGTCCAATAGCAAATTTAGAAACACTATTTTAATGTTCGTGAATGAAATTACTTAGATATTAGCAAGTTTCCTTGGAATAGGTTGAATCTTTCTTTGCATATTCGCGTTTATAAACTGATTAGAAGCGTATAGTAAATTTACCACCTGTTATAAATGCGAGGATGTCCAAAAAATCGCCGGTCGAACGGAATGTGTAGGCAACGTGAAACGCTGCTGCGACAAATTGCACTTCGAAAACATTTTTAATATATAGTGAATACAATCATGATGTGTATTAGTTTGTTGAAACACAGTAAGAGGAATATTGCATTTTTGTCCTATTTTATATAAATGTTTACAGTGTTACCTTGTATCTTTGAATTTATCCACTGGATAGTGGATTTAAACCACCTCCGGACCTTGGATAAATTTATCCGGTAGATAGCGATTTTTATCCTCTGGATAAAGTTATACAAGCTTCGTGCAACCCAAATCACACGCTGGATAAAACTTATCCGTTGGATAGTGAGTTATCCGTTGGATAGCGACTTATCCACCTTTCGAACAACCGGCCCCTGTTCTTTTATTTATCGGAATAACTAGTGATGTGATCTTACATGAAGCATTTTCAGTCATGCTGCTAAATTGTCGTGCTGGCTACGCCACTGAGTATTTTATTTGCTCGCAGAGCCTCGTCTGCTGAACGTGACCGTCGGCCAGTCTTCACCATGTACGGTGACAGTTATTTTCTGCCTTTTAACTTGCCGACATGCAATGTTTCATTGCACGGTGAGTTTTCAACTTTACTGAAGGCGCTACTATACAATATGCAATTTTCCTTACAACTTGCAATGCAATTATAATTCCGAAGGATGTTAATTTGTAAAGAGTGTTCGAAATACTAAGGAAACGTTAGCAGATCGTAATAGATGTTCGTATTTGACAACTTTAGATGCCTCAGGAGTAGAATGGTTTTGCAATTTGCAAGGAAAGTTGCGTAGTGTAACAGCGCCTTGAGATTGTTTCGGAAAGCTGGTTAAATTTCGATGTAACTTGCAAACATGTAATGTTTCATTGCAATTGCGAGTTGAAAATAAGGGTCATTGGACGGAAGAACGGGACAAGTATCGTAGTTTTCAACATACCTTTTATAATAAGACATTGATCTTCCATCCACGGTCGGTTTTATCATTTTTGCTTTTTCTATCATTTCTTTATCCTACAAAAGACAAAAAAAACTTGTTAAATCGTGGATCAATCTAACACTTTTAAAAGCTTTCTCTCCTAACTGAACTAATTTTATTTATACCGTATAGTTCTATCAGTTCTAAATTGTCCTTTGGAGGTCCAGTAGGGGTCATCCCGTATTGATGCAGTGTTACTACAGGAGGAAACCTGAACTAAACTGACTTTATTTATGCTGGATAGCTGTATCAGTTCTAAACTTCAACCAAACTAATTCTAACAATTCGAAAAAGCTGGGACTTCAGACGAAAAAGGTCAGCCGATTTTGAAAAATCTTAGATGCGGGGTTTATAAGGCGGTTAGTAATTTCATCATCACCTTCATCCAAGGATGTTCCAGAGCTTCTGAAACCGTGATGCATTTTCTGTGACCAACAGTAAGCAGTTTTGTTATAAGATCCTTAGCTTCACTGCTAACATTCTTCCAGAGGTTGTTCGGAAATTTATACGACCCTTCTTTGACTTGTTTCTCCAATGGGTTATTTGCCTGCTTTGAAAATAAAGAAGATCCGGAAAGTCTAAAAGACGTTAACTTTTCATTGACGTACTCCAATTTTGAAATGAGGTTAAGCTACCTCCAGCTTCATTACAAATCGTGTTCACTACGTGAATTTGAGTAAACTGAAGTATATGGCATACCAAACATATAGTATAACTCCCAGGCTCCAGCAGTCACACGATTTCTTGTAGGATCGTTCTTCAGGCTACGGGATTAACATTTTGGTAGCGAGGTAACTTGGTGTACCACAGAGTGTTTCCATATAGGAATTCTGATCTAAAAAATTAATTGTTATCATTGAGATCTGTAACAATGAGAAATAACTGAACCTAAAACGTTTGCAGAATGCGCTCTGCTTTCGTAAAACGAAATCACGGACAAAACTCGGAATTGAGATTATAGTGACTTCCAGGATTTGCTGGCAATGGTCACATCGAATGGTTTCTTCAAAGACAATTTAAAGGGCAATTTAAACACAAGTTCAATACACAACCGACACAAACCTTTATAAGCGTTTCATCATACGAGGAACACCAATAAACATTTTCTGGCTAAAGAAGAAAAAGTTAAATTATGGTCGTTAAAGTTTAGGATATAAAGACAGTATTGATAAATAAATTAGGGCGTGCTTACCTTCCAATCCCTGTTAGTGATGCCATTTTCATGTAAATGCTAAAAATACGAAACAGTATGAATAAAGTTAGTTTAGTTCAGGCTCCTGCAGTAACACTGGATCAATAACAGATGATCCTTAGCTTGGTGTCATTAAAAGCTCCAATCTCTTCGTGATATTTTCCATAAACTTTAGTCATCGCCTGTGAATGAAATATTCCAATTTGTTTAATTCATTCTTCGAAGGCTACACATGGCTACATTCCCGCTAAACGACATCCTCACCTGAAGGCACATTGCTTTCATAGTTGGTTTAGTTGTCAATAGGAATCAGTGATACAGATCGTTAGACAACTCGAGCCTGAAAACAAAATAGAAAAGTCGATCGAATCTTGAATGGTTTCATCCATGATTCTATACTTCTCTACTACATTCTGCAGGACAAATAACATTACGTGAACTGTGCAGCAATATAGAGAATAGGGGGAAGCCAGACAGAAAAGCACATGGAAAGTAGTTTGAATATTTGCAAACCCTGACAGATAAATGTCGTGGACTCACACATTTGTTATCGGCGTCTCCTCGTCGTTTTGTTCCAACAAGACTCTCAAATAATAGTCACCTGATAGCAGAGATACGTTACTGAGTTTGATTCCTATCGAGGAATAAGGGGGGACGCTTTATGAAGAACTGTTAAAAAGCTAGAGCAGTTAGGCTTATCACTAACCTATTTCAGCTCATCAGCTAAACATTCATACAGGACTTCAAACTAAAGGTGATTCCAAAAGACAATGTAGTTTCCACTCAGATCTTTTTCATTGCAAATGCGTGCAAATCAGATTCGAGTGCCCCAGAAGTTCCTCTCGCGTCTGTCACATTGAAAACATAAGAAATTGTTTCATACTCTTTTACGAGAACAGTTTAGAGAAAGAGGTCAGGACTATTGAATTTGTCTTGTTATACTCATAGCGACAGGAAATCCTCCATTACATTTCCATATCCTATATTTTCAACGGAAACTAACCTTAACTTCGAGACTCACCTTGTATATCCAAATCAGGTTGTACGCTGTCAGATCTTGACTGAATCTGTAAAAAAGATCCGCTTAAATATCATTGCTTTTTCATCTTTCAAACGACTAGAACATTTTCCCATTTTCTTAATATGAACACTTACTTGTAATAAAAAAACTGGATTTAAATTCTCACATCTTTCCTGGATTTGAATCCTATTTTTGTCCTCCAATGCGAGAGATATCCTTCAAGTTGATTCCTCAACGTTCCCCTCGTTTTTCCAGAGCTCTAAGACACAAGTATAACGCGTGAAATAACAGGCTTATACGTACATGCAAGCATGCATTATGAAATTTTGGAACACGATTGTTGATTTAAAACGTACTTCTGCAAGCTTTACATTGTCACGAATTGATAAACGATCTTCTTCAGTCTCTGGTGGCTGAAGGAAAGATAAAAACTTTCCAACAAAATTGTTTCTTTACAAAAAGGTTTTACACTTCTGAATGAATTACTATTTAATTATTTCCTCAGTGGGGCAGTTGGCACAGTTTAAGGATGAATGATGGAGTTTAGTTACCAAAGCAGTTGATACCACTTAGTCATGAATACGATTGGTTAGTCAGAATCACCTCAATGGGTTTATGTAAATAATGGCCCTCGCAAAAAAGTTTTCAAAGATTTCTTACTTCGTCAGGGCTTTCAAGGTAATAGAGCAAACCAGCAGGCTGTGAAAATCGTATTCAAATTTATTACATAATTGTTTATGAACCAAAAATTATGAACAGGAAATCTCGCATTTAAACTTTCTTGTATATTTTAGACATTAAAAACTATAACTACTTTAATACGAACATTATTCTCGCAAGTAATGCCATTGCTGTTGGATGATGCTATGCCAACAATAATGATTATAAATTACTTATGGAGTATGCTTGTTAGTCTCAATTGAACTATTTACAGATGGCTAGTATATAGAGGATTATAAAATCACAAGTTTTAAGATGAATCTGAGAATGTTGCTAAAATACAACTCAGGTCCTGTGGATGGAATAGAGGCTATACCTCTGCAACAATTTGTTAATTAATCACACTAATTCGCACCTGTTCAATAGCGAACGTCTATCAGTGCTTTGCGTAAACATGGCCATGCGTAAGCGTTTTGGTAGAGCGCCCTCGGCAAGCGCCAGAACTTGTATTTTTGCCGCGGTTTCTTCATCAGCTTCCTAAAGTGAAGTTCTAACTAAATATTAACAGATGATTTTAGGCACTTCACACGATGCAGGAATATTCTTGAGGTTTTAAAGGGTCTTAATTTCGAGTGGTATTATACGCACTTCAAATTCAAGCAGGGAACAGTTGATGGAAAAATGAGTCAACTGTACGTCCTCAGTGACAAGAGCATTGCACCGGCATCGCAAAAGCGTAGGTTCGATTCCTGCCGGAGGATCTATAGTTCACTCATTTTCCGTCATCTGTTCCTGGCTTGATTTGAAGTGTGTATAATACCTCTCAAAATTAAGACTTTTTAAAACCTCTTAAATATCAACTGAACTAATATGTACATTCATCACGGGTAAAAAAATGCAGAGCGTTATAAATGACGTTCGTCAAAGGCAGAAAATTCTCAATGGATGAATGAATGAATAAAACGTACCTCGATTATCGCCTTCAGAACCATGCCAGCACCTTTCACAATTGTTGTCGACGGATGCTGAAATTGTTGAGGAACGAATTCAAAACCACGATTGGTAAGAACCATTAGCGGGGCAATAGTAAAACATACATAAGCGAAGAAATGGTAAAATTGGTACTATTATTTAGTTTTGTCGTAAACCTACCTGGAACAATCGATAAATGCAATGACCCATTTCTAGACAAACAAATAACAGACTTCATGAGTTGCTCCTATGCATGGGTCAAGCTAGTGGACGTGGTAAACTTCACCAAAAAGGTAAAGAGAGAAAGGCTATTAATCAACTCTCAACCTCAGTCAAAGAGCCATAAACTACCAAGAAGACAAGTTGAATGAAAAGCTCCTCAAATTTCTTTGTAGCATACTTGCAACTTTCTCCAGTAATTTCCCAAACTGTTCATCATCTGTTGTCTCACTAAGAGGAATATGCAATAGTCGATTTATTGTAACAGACTACATGAGTTGATTCAAAATATTGGAAGCAATCACACCTTACTATTAGTTTAACATGAATGTCCAACTTCACTCCGGTATTTTTTTAATATATTGCAAAGCAACTAGAACAAACCTGTAAGGAGGACACAGAGCAAACGTCAGAAAATCAAGCAATCTACTTATAACTAAAACCCCAGTAGAACGAATATAGAAGAAAAGTTTTCATGGTTAATCTATTTCTTGTGTTTAGTTAGAAAGGTAGTTCAAATTAGAAAGGCAGTTGCTACGAATCACTTGCTGGGTTTTGCAAGGGAATTTCTCTTCCAAAACAAAGCTATATACATACAAGAGGGATGGAAAAATAAAATGCAAGGGTTCATCATAGATTATAGGCAACCAACACCGCACATCTTACCACATTTATCGTGAGAATTTCCAACAAACTGCTTAGAAATTTTTCAGAGGATAACAAAGAGCTTTTGTTTATCTGTTCTTGTCGAATGTCATAGTTATCGTGCGTTGGCTATATAAAAAAACAGAATTGGTTTCGATAAAATTGGTTCCTGTTAACATTCAGATTTCAAAGTTGGCTGAGTTTATGTGGATTGCAAGTTAAAGGGGTAACACTAATGACAGTGACAGATTTAGCAACATATTACCAGGAAATTCATCGTTAAAGTGTTGGCGCTTTCCTTTATACGGAAAAAACGGCCAGACCGGTCCTATTGTCGATCTCGGTACAGACAGATTACTGGTATTTTAGAGTGTTTCAAGAACTCTGCGTTCAAGTATATCGTTACTTGCATCTGTCTAGCTCGGAAATTTCGCAACTATATTCTTAACGAAATACTCTATTTTAAATTTAAATATGACCGGTCTGACCATTTTGGCCGCTTAAAGGAAAGCCCTCTCTTTACCTGCATCAGAGCACACAGCATGTCGACAGCGGCGTGAGTCGCGGCTTCATTATTCCTCTTCAAAGCTTTCACAGTTTTCACACCAACCTTCTCATAGAAGCTGTAAAAACAAAACAGAAACACGGTCTAGAGAAAGTGAGCTGGTTGAGTAAACAGCGTGTGTTATGGTTAAAGATAAACTTTTCTCACCTAGTGAGCGTTGTGAAACCTGCTTTGGATCCAACCTAATGTCTCAAAGCGTGAAACAGTGCTTCGAGATCTTTATCTGATATTTTGTTTTGGTCTCCTGCAAATAGACGAGACATTTTAACTATTTTATGTATATAATGAACACTGTGAAGGTAATAGCAGTCAGAATATGTATATTTTAGGGTTGAACACTAAATATATTTATTGGCAAAGATATACCTTCGTGAGCAATGAGCATTGTGATGGCATTAATGATAAGTCTTTCTTTATTCTCCGGGAAAAGTCCTTACAAAATATTTAAAATCGTTTGAAATATATATTGGAGTTTAAAAGACTTAATATTCCAGCCGTACTTCTGGCGAGAAAATTTCAAATCTACCATTTCATGGATTCGGACCCAGTCAACTCAGCAACCAGAGTTACCGCAGCGTAGTCCCTAGGCCTCTTAACGTTCCTTATACGCGGCGAGGCGGGAACTGAGAGGCCTAGAACAAAATGTTTTGTATTTTAGCTAAAGTGGGGACTTTTTGTCCCCACTTTCTGTATTGAGGTCAGTTTACGATCCACGACGCGGTTAACTGGCCTTGTTCGACGTCGCTAGTCAAATATTTGCTTGAAATAACCTACGGGATATTAATTATATTGTCAGGACTTCGAAATTTTCATACAAAC